GTAAAATAGTGGTTGCCTCAGGATGGGGGTACAGAGGGGATTAACTGCAAAGGGGATTAACTGAGTGGTGAAAATATTTTAAGACAGGATGGTGGTAATGGTTGTACAACCCTGTACATTTACTAAAAAATCACTGGACACTTAAAATGGATGAATTTTAAGGTATATAAGTTATACCTCGTAAACTTAGTAAAACTATTAAAAACTCAGTGGTGGCCAGGCGCGGTGGCTCACACCTGTAATCCTAGCACTCTGGGAGGCCAAGGTGGGCGGATTGTTTGAGCTCGGGAGTTTGAAACCAGCCTGAGCAAGAGTGAGACCCCGTCTCTACTAAAAATAGAAAGAAATTAATCAGACAACTAAAAATATATAGAAAAAATTAGCCGGGCATGGTGGTGCATGCCTGTAGTCCCAGCTACTTGGGAGGCTGAGGCAGTAGGATTGCTTGAGCCCAGGAGTTTGAGGTTGCTGTGAGCTAGGATGACGCCACGGCACTCACTCTAGCCCGGGCAAAAGAGTGAGATTCTGTCTCAATAAAAAACAACAACAAAAAAAACCAACTCAGTGGTGTAAAATGGAGGAAGACTAGGGAAGCATGATTAAGTGATCTTTGAATGTGGATATACCTGACTGTCCTTAAGTTCTTTAAGAAACATTTGTTGAGCCTCTTCTTTGTGCCCAATGCTGGGTCCACAACAATAAGGGACTTTCATAGAGCTCATCACCTATTAGGTCAAACAGAAAGAAAAACAGGCCATTGCACAGTAGGGTATAGCTAGGGGCAAGCACAGAGGGACACCAGGCCAACCAGAGATGTTTTCCTGCAGGGGGTGACATCTGAGATCCTGAAGGACTGTTTCACGGGGCTGAGTGGGAAGAAGTGCCAGTATCATGGTGACCCTCTATGCCATGCTATGGAGTTCAAGTTTTATCATGAACTGAAAAACTAGAAAAAGAATTCAGCAGGGAACGGAGCTTTGTTAAAGAGGAAAAACATCTGAATACCACATGAAATGAATTGGGAACAGTAAGCCCGGGATAATTCCTATGAGAACTGTGCAATTCCCATATAATTTTTTTGGTTGTGTAATGTTATTGTGAGCAGCAGTAAAAACCAGCAGTTGCTGGACTTTTGGGTGAAGAGTGGGTTCTGCTGCTTAGTTGTGAGGGCAGAGGAGTCTAAAGAAAAACTAAGAACAAAAAAAAAAAAAAAAAGAAAAGAAAGAAAGAAAAAAAGAAATGGGAAGTCAAACAGATGAGTCTAACTTGGACCCCCAGTCCACTTTTCACTCATGGGGCTCTTTGGTTATGATCAGTGGGGTGTAGGATACATGGAAAGGGCTGTTATTACTTTATAAGCATCTGACCTTTCTCCCACAGGGCAGAGCCTACAGAGTCCAGCTACCTCTTTTTAGCACAGAGGCATCCACTTCCATAATCTTTCGCCTCACTGCTGGTCTGTGTCCAAGGTCCACCCCAGCGTTGGGCAGCAGACCTCCACACAATGAACCTGGAAGCTGGATGGACCAGCTGCTTCATAGATCCAAGACTTTGTTCCCCGTAGGCAAACTAGACCGTGAGTGTGGAGATCTGGTCTCCATTTTTGACAATACCATCAGTTAGCTGATGAGTCAGGTCAGTTAGTTGGCCGTTCTGAGGCAGTTTGCTTATGCTGAAATGAGCTATGCTATCAGCTCCGCGGGGATTACTGCGAGGACCAAGTGAGAATTAACTGACAGAGTGTTTATGTGTGAAACATGTGCTGGTGGTGTGTGTGTGGGAGTGATATACCTTCCAAAAACTTAAAAAAAGGTTGCCATCCAAAAATATAATCATTACCCAATGGATGAGACTAACCACAGGCTGACTTTTGCAAAAGTGTGACTGAAGAGTTTCCCAACATCCACAACCACATTAACCAGGGTGTAATCTTAGGGGGGCAGATCTGGAACGCGGCTGTATTTGGGGAAGTGGAAACTAAAGACAGGAGTCCAGTTCTCACACACTGGTGAGCATACAAATCATCAAGGAATCTTGCCTATACCAGAGTGCCAAGCTGCATTCCAGCCCTAGGGAATCTGTCTCTGGAGGGGGACTTAGTAATGAATTTGTGGTTTAAAATTTTTCCAGTGACTTTCATGTGCATCAAAGTTAAAGCACCTTTGGCCTAGAGCATAAAGAAGGAGCTGGAAGTATTGGTTCCAGCAGTCAACAGGCCAGCCATATTCTATTGGGGAACTCTGGAGTTTCATGGCAGTAAAAGAAAAGGGGAAATCTGAGAGCAGTGGCAACCTGGATGGCAGCAAATATGCAGTAGCAATGTGCAAATGAAGTCTTTGCATATTTTGCACCAGAACTAATTCTTATAAAATACACACATCTCTCCAGAGACTGCTTTTGCTGTACATCTGGTTTTTCCCTTATTTTCATAGAAATATTCCCATTTTGTCCAATGTTTTTTCAGTGAATCACAGTAAAAATATGATTTACTTCTAATATTTAAAAAATAAATCAGGAAAGGGCAAGAACTATTAGAAGTGTTCTCTTTATTTCTCTTTGGTTTCTTAACACAAAAGACATGCATTCTATAAATAAAAGGAAATAAGATATTCTGGGAAACAATAAATTGGGGGGAATTCCCACCTAGTCATATCTTTGTGGTCAAGTCAAGAGGCTGGTCTTCAGCTCCCATCTGGCTGTGATTTCAGATGAAATCTAGAAGAGCAGGCTGTGTGTGTAACCAAGGTGAAACACTCAAGGACGGTGAACATCACAGTCCTCTGCTCAGAGCTGACCTAGACCCCAAGGCCCAATGAGCACAATGTCTGTCCTATCTCCTTGTTACATCCTTTTCACAATATCCTTGGGCGATGCCTCTTCTTTTCATGGGGCTATTGGAAAGGCTCCAATACCAAAGAGCTAGACCAGCCATGTGCAAACAGCCATTCACCATCAGACTGAGGAACTGACTGGGGAGTGCGTGAAAATGTTGTTCACTCACTTGTGCTCAAAGCCCAGATTAAAGCACTGGCTCGATCTTACTTGGCAACACTGACCTCAGGTGCAGCAGTGTAACTTCTATACCAGGAGGTAGGAGTGGACTTGGGAAGGCCACTACAAAACCAGCAGGCCATGGGAAAATAATCTATCATCCCTGGTAGCAAAATTTGGGCCAGCATCCTAAGGATCCAGTGAGGCCCGTAAGTAGCCCAATGACCAATTCTTTTTTTTTTGAGACAGAGTCTCACTCTGTTGCCCAGGCTAGAATGCAGTGGCATCATCATAGCTCACTGCAACCGCCAACTCCTGCCTCAGCATCCTGAGTAGCTTGGACTACAGGCCCATGACACCTAGCCCAGCTAATTTTTTCTATTTTTAGTAGAGACGGGGTCTCACTCTTGCTCAGGTTGGTCTTGAACTCCTGAGCTCCAGCAATCCTCCCGCCTCAGCCTCCCAGAGTGCTAGCATTATAGGCGTGAGCCACCCTGCCTGGCCAATTCTTAAAACCTTCACAATCCAGGCTCATCAGTGCTGGTTGAAATTCACAAAAGAAAGGGGCTTATAACAATAAGAGCGCTGACACTTCTTACAGGAAACGCAGACCCTAACCTCCTTCCGAGTCTACCTCTATAGGCAAACCAGAGAGGGAGAAATGCTGGAGCTCCACCACGAGCCCAGATTAAACTATATCAGATATTAGATTGTTCAGTCTTTTAAAATAAAAATATCATTTTCAAGTGCTTATAGGAGAGGCCCAGCTCCTAAGTTGCAGGTAACAAAGGTACTTTCCTCTGAATACACGGTGATTGCACATGCTGGTAAACCTGACAGTCCTGGGGTGGGGCACACACCCCAGGCTCCACATTGTGCCTTTCTGAACAGGCTTCCAGGCCACCCCAGGCAGGCAGCAAAGGACAAGAAACCGACCAGGTGGAGACTGGGGAACCCTAAGACCCAGTCTTGGGTTAAAAGAATTGTATCCTCTTTTAGTCTCTACTAGCAGAATTTTAGAAAACCAGATTTTGGCAGCAGCAGTTTAAGGACAGCCCCACTGCCCAGTGCACTGGTAATAGAAAATGTCCTCCTCTTTGGGTCCTGCTGTGCTACATTAAGGTCCCATCCAGGGGGAAGGAGGGAGTATGGTGTCTCTTTAAGAGGTCATTTGCCAAGATTAGAGGAAGAAATATAAAATCTGTTCTTTGCAGCAGCAGATCCTTTTAGCCTTTAGTTCTTTATGTCATAAAGCCAGCTTTACTTGAATGTGAAGGTCCACCTTGCTGGTCAGTCTGCAAAGGGCTGGAGGGAGGCCAGACCCCTGGAATTGGTGGCTGGATGGAGAAGCAGTGGAATGGCAGGGTAGGCAAGGTTACCAGACCAAGCCAGCCCATGGCTGGTAGGAGGAGGAAGCCCCTGGTTAGGTTCTGGAGGTGCAGATATGCCCCAGAAGTATCACAATGAGGAAAATCATCCGAGGATGACAGATGGGCAAGTGAGATTCTGGCCAGACCTGCTGTTTCCTGCTGGTCAAAAAGGGAAGGAATGTTAGTGACAATGGGGAATCTGAATGAGTGCTGCAGTGGCAGTGGGAGGTAATCACAGGGACATCTGGAGCCCCCGGCTACAGCTGGGAGCTCCCACCTAGAAGAATGGCTGCTTGCTAAGCCTATGATTAAAAAGGTCCCCTGATGGCGGGTGTGAAGTCAAACCCCATGAGCACCTTGCTACAGGACCACTTGAGGATGTACTGATTCCAGGCACGCCGGGGCTCAGAGGGAACCCCAAGTGCTGTGTGAGGCCTCAGGACCCTGGGATCCGAATGTGGAGTGGACACCGCCCTTCTCATGTTGGACGGTTTTCCATTTAAACATATTTGCCGTCAGTGCCTTTCATGCTTTTTTCTTCCTGCAAAATATGTTCACGTAAAAAAAAGTATTTTTCTTTCCAGTTTCTTTCAAGTGTGTTTCTTTGTTTAAATTTCTTTCAGTTTCTTTCAAGTATCTTTTTTTTCCCTTCTGTTTCTCCTGTTCAAGATGAAAAAGACCTCACTGAAATCCCAAAATTAGACATGGGAAAAACTTCCGTATTTCCTGCTTACCGGTGATTAGAACAAAATCCTTTGTGCCCTACAACGGAAGATGGAACATGCTCGTGTGTAGCCAGCATGTTGCTTTAGCTGCATCATCACAGGCAGTAAGAACATTAGGAGTGTGCCCTTTCTCTCCCAGCTATACCCCACAGTTTCCAACAGGCTGGGCCACTGCAGCTTCCTCATGGCAAACTGGCCACAATGTGGGTGGAAAACAAGCAGGCAAGGAGGTGCATCAGATGGAAGGCCTTCTGCAAATGGGTGGCCCACAGAGCCGCGGTGGGTGGGAGCTGGGCTTGGATGGAGTGTTCATGTGGAACAGCAAAACACTTCCATATCACCAGCTGCGGGACCCAGAGGGGCTTTCGTCCTGTCCTGTGCTGTGCATCTTGATGACCCAGGCCTGAAGGTCAGTGAGGGAGGACTTGAGCACCTGGAAAAACTGTATGTCTGGCAAGCTCACATTTCACCCCATCTTCTGGTCCACCACCTCCCCTGAGAGGGATTATTCCTGGAAGGAAGCGCCTATGTATGTCTGTACCAGATTCCCACCCTACCACATCCTACCCTCTGCCTTAGATGGTGAGGAGAGGGATGCAGCCCACACCGACCCCTCCCTCATGGCATGCCATAGGGGCCATAAATGTCCAGCGGTCCGTCTCTGGGTCATACATCTCCACCGAGCTCAGGTTTGACTGTCCATCATAGCCCCCCACAGCATAGAGGCGCCCACAGCTGGCCACAAGGGAGACCCGGCTCCGGCGTGTGTGCATGGGTACTATCAGGCACCACTGGTCTGCCACAGAACTGTACATCTCGGCGATGCTGAGGAAGCCAGAGCCATCATAGCCCCCACAAACAAACATCTTGCTTCCTAGGGAGGCAGCTCCATGCCGGCAGCGCTTGTTGAGCATGCCAGCTGCTGGGTACCAGGAGGCTGTGTGGTGGTTGTAGTGCTCCACCTGCAGTGGGGAGAGAGGCACAGGTATAGGACAGTCAGAGTCAAAGCTTAGTTCATGGGGTAACCCTGCAGAACACAGTGGCCCACATGATGTCGGACTCCTGTGGGAGGCCTCAGGTCAAGGAGTTCTGCCAGAGTGTGCCCTGGCTCTAATATTCCCTTGGCTACATGCCTGTTCCTGGCAGAGAGGTTACCTCACCTAAGCTTTTCTGTTTGCATCTAAGGAAATAAACATAGGCTGTGCCCAAGGATGCACTGCTAGGTAGTGACAGAGCTGGGATGAGCTGGGTATCCTGTAATCTGTCCAGAGTGCTTTCCACTACAGCACTGACTGACTCTGTTGAGCTATTTTATAAGAGTAAGTGCAATTTCAGACAAATTATCCACAGAAATACAACTGTTTGCAAATTCACACTTGGTCTACAATTGAGCTTACTTTGGGTGGAGATTTCACAAGCTCTAATGCAGCATTTGATGGACAGCTGGACAGGTTGGTGGTGGAGGTGGGAGTGGTGACTACACCTTAGCCCTCCTTTCTGTACCCTGGCTCCCATTCTCTAGAAGTTGAGAATTTCAGAAGATGCAGTAGATGGCTTGAAACCTCACTGGATGATGCTTTGTCCAGCAATGGCAAGGCTGAAGTTTTTCAAACAAGTGTCTTTCAAAATAACTCTCAAAGATGAAAGGAACAGGTGCCCTTAGCCCAGGAAGAGCCCAGACTCACACTGTTGAAGATCTGCAAACCATCGTGGCCGCCCGACACATATATCCTGCCCTCAAAGACTGTAACCCCAGCAGCACTGCGATTCGAGCTCATCGGGGTCACCACTGTCCACCTTTAGGAAAGAGTCAAAATAGAAGGGGAGGCATGAGATTCAGTGTTCCTGTACTCCCAAGACAGCTCGGCAGGGCTCAGTGAACTGCGCTGCACATCTCCACACCTCTTATCACCTCTCCCACCACCTTTGCTGATGGCTCTCTCTGGCTGCCACCTTTTGCCTGAGCTTCAGACCCATAGCTTGCCTTCTCTGCTCACCTTCATGAGTGCTCAAAATCAGCATGCCTCAAATGAGGCCTCTCTCTCCTACAGATCTGCTCCTCCCCTGCACTCCCTGGTCTTGTTAACGGGACGATCAGCTATCTAGTTGCTGTACTGATAAAACTCAGTCATTTTTGTCTTCTTCTCCCTCACCCTCAACATTCCTGTGGTCCCCAAATCCTAGCTGGTTTGCCTCCTAGTCACTGCTTATTCCCATCCTCCCTACCAGTACCCTAGCTCTGGCCTCTCACCTGGACCACTGCAAAGTATCCTTACAGGTGGCCTGGCTTTCAGACCATTCCCGTCCTGGCCCCACACAGCCAGAGGGATCACTCCTCCAGTGGCTGCACCATATCCCTCCAGTGGCTCCTCATTGTCTCCCCTAAGGCAGAGTCCAAGTTCCTTAATATGGTTCTTTACCACTTAGTTCTCATGTACCTTCCCGCTTCACCCATACCACACACCACCCACACCTGCTCCATCTCCCTTTGACACTCTGTGCTCTAGCCTATGAGATGATCACTGCTGTCCTCGATCACAGTGAGCACTTATGTGAGCCTCTTTCCCTGCTGTCTCCCTGCCTGTGAAGAGCATCTCCCACTAGCTACCCATGATAGGTGGCACCTCAGAAGTCATCCCTGCCACCCTGCCTCTCCCGACTACGCTGGGGAAGGTGAAGGCGCTCCCCACTCTGTGCCCAAGAGCTCCTGACACAGACCCCCACAGTAGGAGGAGCATGATGCATCTGTGGCCCCACCACACCGGGTGCTCCTTAAAGGATCTTGGACACCCAGCTTGCTGCCTGATACACAGTGCCTGGTTAACTGAAAAGAATATTAACTTAAAAGTATCCTGATGAGTCCATTCAACTATTGCTTATATATTCTTACATAATATGAAAGAATTCAAATACTGAAATGAAAAATTTCGGCTAACCTTGTCAGTATTTTTCAAAGAGTATTCCACAAATAGTCCTACAAGACGGTGACAGGTTAAACATAAGGTTAAACAGCGTTCTTTATTGCAGAATTTTTCAGAACCTTTAAAATGTTAATATGTATTATGGAAAGACAAGGACTCTGGTAGTACTGACATCAACATTTCCCAAGCTTATTTGACCATAACTTTTTTTTTTTTATTTCAGGATATTATGGGGGTACAGATGTTTAGGTTATGTATGTTGCCCTTGCCCCTCATCCCCCTGACCATAACTTTTTTTCCTTTTGTTGAAATCATATCCTACCCACTTTGGAACACGCTGTTCATCTACTTCTTATCCTCTCTTGCCTACATTCCCATTAAAAGGTACAGACCATTAGATAGATGTTTCCAAGGATCTATGTAGACTATTTGTATTAAAAATTTATTTAATCATTCATTTAACCAAGGGTTATTAAATACTGACTATATACAACGTACTGCAGGGGAAAAAAAGGTTAGACATTCTCTACCGTCAAGAAGCTTAAATAAAAAACTGCAGTTCTAATTTTTTTTTTTTTTTCGAGACAGAGTCTCACTCTTTTGCCCGGGCTAGAGTGCCGTGGCGTCAGCCTAGCTCACAGCAACCTCACACTCCTGGGCTCAAGCAATCCTTCTGCCTCAGCCTCCCGAGTAGCTGGGACTACATTCAGCCTCCCGAGTAGCTGGGACTACAGGCATGCGCCACCATGCCCGGCTAATTTTTTCTATGTATTTTTAGTTGTCCAATTAATTTGTTTCTATTTTTAGTAAGAGATGGGGTCTCGCTCTTGCTCAGGCTGGTCTCGAACTCCTGAGCTCAAACAATCCGCCCGCCTCGGCCTCCCAGAGAGCTAGGATTACAGGCGTGAGCCACTGCGCCCGGCCAGTTCTAATTTTTATACTCTGTTTAATAAGCTCCAGTTGCCCCAGGGGAGCTAGAGTTCTTACTTGTCTGTCTCAGGTGAGTAGGTCTCCACAGAGTTGAGGGAAGAGTTGCCATCGTAGCCCCCACAGACGTAGATCTGCCCATCCAGCACAACTGTCCCCATGGCACTGAAACAGATACAGCTGTCATCTCAAGTGGGCCTCAGACTTCCTGGGGCAGCCTCTCATGCCCACTGAGAAATAAACCTCACTATCAACTGCCTCTTTCTGGAACAGACCCAGGTATGTGCTAAGTAAAGGTATAAAACTGAGGTGACAGAAGCTGCCCTGTGGTTCCTCCTGCCTCCTACCCCTCTGCCCTGGGCTATCTCCTCTCCCCACTCTCTTAGTCCTTGAACTGTCTGAAATGCTCACCTTCTACTTCACCATGTTGAGGATCTAACTTACATAAAGGCCCAGGTCAAATTCTCTCTCTCCCCCAACCCTCAACAAGAATTATTCTCTCCCAATGCTACATTCCCAGACTGGCTTCTTTCTTTATTACAGCACTTGTCATAGTTGTTCAGATTTTTATTGGCCACTCAAAGGCATGCTGTCCTAGGCACTAAGTTTAGCATGGTAAGCAAGCCAAAGCCCCTGCCCACGAGGCACTGATGTTCTGGCACCATAGGCTACCAGGAGTCTATCTGCCACCTCTTAACAAGTGGGGACCTCCTGGAAGATGGGAAAGGGTCTTCATCTGTGTGAGCCCCACAGGATTAGTGCAGTGTCTTACACATAATGAGCCTTCAATATATGTTTGTTGTGTTACCTCTGATTTTTCCCATTTGATTCACTGTAAAGCTTAACAGATGTGTTTTCATTACATGCATGGCTCCTACTTCGTCTTAGTGGAGCATGCTACAGCTCCTGCTTGCTGCATACTTACTATATGTGTCAGGTACTCTACACTTGTATTTTCAACCTTCACCACACCCTGCAAGGAAGGAAGGATCACCACAATCACTGTACAGAATGGCAGCCACGCCTCGGGGAGGCAAGGGTCTCTCTTCAAGTCTGCCCAGGGAGGCATACCTCAGACATAAATGAGACAAGCCCGACTCCCCCACTCCTCACCATGCCGAGCTCTCCTAATATCAAAGACCCATGGGTCTGGTGGAATCATGTAATCTTTGCTCTACACGAAGCCTTATGAGAAATTAAACACGAATGCTAAGCTGTCCTATTTGATTAAGCAAGAATGCCAAGCTGCCCAATTCAACTTTCATACCTGATGCTGGAGAAGATTAAAAATGAATCTGGGTATCTAATAAATAAGAAAATAAAATATACTAGGCTTACTGCCACCTTTAAGTGTCCACAGTAAAATCAAACTGGTCCCTTTGAGAGACAATGATAACAGATCCCCTGACCAGCCTGAAAGAGGAGAGAGACTTGCCTTAGGCAAGATCACAAATTTACTAGATATGACTACTATCCTTCTGGACAAACATAAAAATTAAATAATAATACAGGTGTTCAACAACATGAAAATGAATTAAGAGGTACCACAAAACTCGGGATGGGATTAACTATCAACTAAGTGTAAAGGCAAGCATGAAGAGGTAAGAGAAAGTGTTGATCAGTGGGGCCTGGAATAGTCCAGTGTAAGAAAGCTCCATGGAGGTGGCCTGGAACACTGGCAGAGAAGGGAAGGAAAGATGGCAGAAAGGAGGATGTCACTAAATGGCAGGACAGAAAGTTGTGTGGGATGTTGGGAGAGAAGTGACTGGGAACATTTTAAGGTAGCCTGTAATTTAAAAGGGATGAAACGGAACCGGGCCCATGCTGCTAATAACAGGGCATTAACCACAGTGAGGGAAAGGAATACTCAGAGGACTTTTCTCTAAGACAACAATCCAACCCAATGACATCAAAGCAAAGAAGTGGCCCAGAGCAGACACACAAGGAGGGACAACTGATGCAGTCAGAGCAAAAAAGCTACTCATGGTTGGGGACATGGATCAATGAATCACTTAATCACAGAAAGCTGCAAAGTATCCAAGGAGCAGAAGGGGGAAGCACCAAAGTGAAGACGGCAGGAGGAAAGAACTGTGAGAATGTTCTTGAGAGACACAGATCTTATACACACGTTTTTTCCCTTCCAAAACAAACCTACTTTGATCCTTTGTGAATCTGGTCTTACTGGTACAAAGGCAGATCCCTCCCAGTTCATGTCCATACACTAACACTGCTGAATGAGGAACATATGCATCATGGCCAGGATGCTGTTATGTGGCACAGGACTTCCACGCTAACTCTTCTTCCTCACCACACGTGCAGTCCCCTGACCTCCCCCCACCACATGCACTTACAAGTAGAGACCCTGAAGCATGCCCAGTGAGAGGTTTGTGAGGCAAATACTTAGATCACAGAATTACAAAGCAGAAAGGTCCTTAAAGAGCAGCTGGTCCGGCCGGGCGCGGTGGCTCACGCCTGTAATCCTAGCACTCTAGGAGGCCGAGGCGGGTGGATCGTTCTGAGCTCAGGAGTTCGAGACCAGCCTGAACAAGAGCGAGACCCCGTCTCTACCAAAAAATGGAAAGAAATTAATTGGACAGCTAAAAATATATGTAGAAAAAATTAGCCGGGCATGGTGGCGCGTGCCTGTGGTCCCAGCTACTCGGGAGGCTGAGATAGTAGGATTGCTTGAGCCCAGGAGTTTGAGGTTGCTGTGAGCTAGGCTGACGCCATGGCACTCGCCCCAGGCAAGAGAGTGAGACTCTGTCTCAAAAAAAAAAAAAAAAAAAAAAAAAAGAGCAGCTGGTCCACTATAGTAACTAAAACAGCTTGGTACTGGCACAAGAACAGAGACATTGACCTCTGGAACAGGACTGAGAATCCAGAGATGAAACCATCTGCATACGGCAATCTAATCTTTGACAAAGCTGACAAAAACATACACTGGGGAAAAGAATCTCTTTTCAATAAATGGTGCTGGGAAAACTGGATAGCTACATGCAGAAGATTGAAACTAGACCCCCACCTCTCACCTCTCACAAAAATCAATTCAAGATGGATAACAGACTTAAACCTAAGGCATAAACCTTAAGAATTCTAAATGAAGATGTTGGGAAGACCCTTTCAGACATCGGCCTAGGCAAGGAATTCTTGAAGAAGAACCCCAAAGCAATCGCCGCAGCAACAAAAATAAATAAGTGGGATCTAATCAAATTAAAAAGCTTCTGCACTGCCAAGGAAACTATCATTAGAGCGAACAGACAGCCCACAGAATGGGAGAAAATATTTGCTCTCTACACATCTGATAAAGGGCTGATAACCAGAATCTATCTAGAACTCAAAAAAAATCAACAAGAAAAAATCAAACAACCCCATCAACAAATGGGCAAGCGAAATGAACAGAAACTTTTCAAAAGAAGACAGAATAATGGCCAGCAAACATATAAAAAAATGCTCAACATCTCTAATCATTAGAGAAATGCAAATCAGAACCACAATGAGGTATCACCTAACCCTGGTGAGATTGGCCTCTATCAAAAAATCCCAAAACAACAAATGTTGGCGAGGATGTGGAGAGACAGGAACACTCTTACACTGCTGGTGGGACTACAAATTAGTGCAGCCGCTGTGGAAAAGAATTTGGAGATACCTCAGAGAGCTAAAAATAGAAATACCATTCAATCCAGCAATAGCACTATTAGGCATCTACCCAAAAGAGCACAAGACATTCTACGATAAAGACATCTGCACCCGAATGTTTATGGCAGCACAATTCACTATTGCAAGAATGTGGAAACAACCCAAGTGCCCATCAATCCATGAGTGGATTATCAAAATTTGGTATATGTTTACAATGGAATATTACTCAATCATAAGAAACGACAGTGATCTGGCACCTCTTATACTTTCCTGGATTAAACTTAGGCTCATTATCCAAAGTGAGGCACCCCAAGAGCAGAAGAACGGGATCCATTTGTACTCGCCATCAAATTGGTACTAACTGATCAACACTAGGGTGATCACATGACAGAAATACTCTCTAGGGATTAGGGGGATGGGGGGCAAATCTACAACTAAAGGACACAGGGAGCACTAAAGGGAGGGAAGGGCATGCCTTTAACCCGCATTTATGTGAGGCAAAGACATAAAGTGTAACTATAATGTTTGTATCCTCACAATACCCTGGAATAATATAAAAAAAAAAAAAAGGTTAGAATAGGAATGAAAGATCTTTAAGGAAAAAAAAAAAAAAGAGCAGCTGGTCCAGTGGTTTTCAAACTAACCTTTACAAAAAAAATTCATGTAACTTTTCTCTTCTGAAATTAGGTATATGTCAAGGAAGCTCAATAGGTAAAAGATACATGCAGAACTGTCTGGGGTAAATGAATAGGAGCCTCGGACTGCTTTCCTCTCCCACCTCAAGCAGCATCAGCCCTCCCACTGCCCAAGCATGTGACTGCTGTTCCACCAGGTGTCTGACCTAAGGAAAGATGCCACCTGTCACCTCAGCACTAAGAGGGCTAAATGATGTCCTCTAATCCCAACTTATTCAGACAATGTGAGCAGGCAAGTGGCGGAGGAAACAGGTAGCTGGCATGCATTGAGTGACATACAAACTCAGCCCTCCTTGCAAATACCTATGTGCTCCTGTCTGGGAAAATGTGTCTGGCCCTGAAGTAAAGAACACTACTTTGGTTTATACACTCCCTGGGTAGTCAAAGCGCATGTATAGGGGTAGTCCTAGGAGAAGGAAAGCATACAGAAGAATACCTTGGATTTCCTTTTATTGCTAATAAAGGTAAATCCTCCTAATTCTTCAAGTTTCAACTTTAATCCCACCTCTTCCCTGAAATCTTCCAGACGTTCCAATCCAGTTTCTCTCCCTCCTCGAATCTTCCATAATACATATTTTCAGTCCTTATCTGGCACTTAAATAACAATACAACTTCCACATGTCCATGTCTCGTCTCCCCAAGTTCCTCAAAGGATAAGGCAGGTATTTTACTTTTAAGCAGGTGGGGGCTTGCTCCCAGAAGGTACCGGCAGTGGCTGGCCTGGCTGCAGGAAATTCCCAGGCCAAAGCTTGTGTTTTACTTTATTATGTGCCCCTGCTTGTCTAGCATGGCACTCCCCAGATGCTCAGTGTGTATGCTCAGGTTGCACGTGGCTTCCAGAATACCTTCTCTTGCTATTCATGCTCCCCACTCTGGTCCATGTGTCCGTCTCCGGGTTGTAGGCCTCCACAGTGCTCAGCCGTAGCTGGCCATCATATCCCCCGATGGCATACAGAAGCCCGTTCACTACAGCCACGCCAACACGGCTGCGGGCTGTTGTCATTGGATGGCATTTCTCCCAGCGATTGGCGATGGGGTCAAACACTTCCACCACATTCAGGGAATCACCTGCATAAAAATTTGCTACTCAAATTAAAACAAATGAGACCACTAGTTTAGATCACAGCTATTGGGCATTGATTATATGGAACATTTGACTTGATTCTATTAGCTCTTCCCACAGAATTATTCAAGGTACAAGGGCCCACTAAGAAATTTCAACCATGATAATCTCAAACCTAATTTTTAAGGAAAATCAGAATCGGACAGGAGGCACTTACTTTTTAGAGAGGGTAGTTTTCAGTTACAATCAGGTACTCCACCTGCTTAAAGCCAAAGACAAAGGCAAATGGACACAATGTTTCCTCAATGTGGGAGGCACGCCCAGAGGGAAAGGCATGAGCTCCAATGCCGACTTTCTACTGGACTGCCTTGTGTCCCCATCCTCTGTTTCACATGTGAAGTGGAGATAATCTTTACGGCAAAGCTGCCATGAGGATTAAATGATATAATATAGATAAAGCATCTAGCATGATTCTAGAATATACTTCAGTGTTCAAAAAATAGTAGCCATAGTAGTAAGGAATGATAAAACTCCAACCCTATCTTTTTCGACAAGTTTTTGTGAAGATCAGATAAAATTCCCCTCCCTCTTGTATGCTGCTTTGGCGCACTTAGCACTTGCCATGCTCCAGCATACACTGACTTGACGACTTACCTTTTCCAGGTCATAAGATTAACAAGCAGCAGGCTAGTACCCACCACCTGTCATTAACCTTCATTTAAAAACAAAACTGCCCAGGCCTGCCTGCCAACTCCCCCAGGAGGGAAGGGGGTTCATGGAGCTTTCCTGAAAACCTGACTGTATGACACGAAAAGTTGCCAATAACACATGGATCGTAAAGCATGTGTATGTTTCATAGGAAGCAGGGGGTGAAGAGTGAAAAGCATTATTGATAGTGGCAGACCCTGTGTATCTGGATAATATTCCTCCTGGGGGCATTCTCACAGTCTAACACCAGAGATTGATATCACTGAATGTGAATAGCCTGGTAACAGATCTAGCTCTGTGTCCTATCCAGGGCAGAGTAAATGCTATAACCAATGTGATATTAGGGCAAAAGTGCTGGTTCCTGAACCAGGACACCTACATTCTAGTCCTTGTTCTGCCAAAAACAACTTGTATGAGCACAGTGCAAGTTCTCTGGGCTTCTATTTCCTCATCTGTAAGGTAAGAGGGGTAGGCCTCAAGGATTTCTAAAAGGCCTTCTTAGCACTGATATTCTGATTCAATGGTATGGATACAGGATATGCTCTAATTGCAGAGCAATGACATAAAATCAGGAGGGGTGAATGTGGTAATAGCACAAAGGAGAAGAACCAGAGGGCCAGGCTAGTTTCTTTGGTGCTTCTTCATCCACAGAGCCCAAGACAGGGCTCTACAAAGAGGAGCTGCAAGATACCTGCAGAGTTGAGGCCCCCCACAGCGTAGATAAGCCCAGCAATGGACGTGCAGCAGCGTGGCCGAGTTCTGAAAGCCGGCAGGTGGGGCCGGCGCTCTGGCATGAGGTGATAGTCTTTTGCTTCGTCTACCAGGTCTCTGGAATAAGGTACAAGATGTTAGGACAGGAGGTGTCCTCCCCACTTGGTCCACATTTGCATTTTTGAGCCTGGCTCCCCAACCCCCGATGGCGGGGCAAACTTGGGAGGAGAAGGCTTCTGGGGGGTTTGGCCTTAAAGAACTCAGGTGAGCTCCACGGAAATCATACACCGCTATTGAGACGTGCTCAAAATTGTAGGGGCAAGATGAGCAGAGCCCACCTTGGCTAGTATAATCAGAATGCGCATCTTCTAACAGGCACAGACCAGGCATGAGAAAAACAGAGTGGCAGCTAAAACACTGGGCTTGGGAGGTTCAACAAGCAGCCCGCACTGTCTGTGGCCACTCAGACCTAGCTCTTCCCTTCCACCCCTACTCTCGCACCATGGCTGTTACCCTGCAAGTAATCACCTCTCACTTTGTACTGTGGCAGCAACAGCCAACAGCTCCTGATGCATGTCCCTGCCTCCAGCCTGCTCCTCCATCCCACCCTCCCCACTTTAGTCCAAGTTGTCTTTCTAAGAACCTTCAATAGCTACCCCTGCCAACAGAATAAAGTTTAAACTCCTCAACGGCACCCCTGAGACCCTGGTCGCAGGGCCCCAGCTACCTCTATCCACACACCTTCACGCTACCTGCCACTGACAGGCACTGACTTCCTCCCAAGCCTGCTGATCCCAACCAGGGGTGGAAAACGAAGGAGAGAGCTGAATATGTGTAAAAATTTTATCAGTAAAACAGAAAAAAAATATTTTGTTTGTGCATAAGACAAGCAATTTGAAGGAGAATGGACATTTTTCTCTGTTGCTCTACTTCTATAACAATCCTCCTATAGGGCTGAACTGTTTTGGTAGCCCTGCTGTGCCATGTCTTCACTGCTTTACTCTGGGTAAAAGCTTCATGTGCTGGTAAACACGTCCTCCCTTTGCCTATCACTGTAGATGTAAAGCCCACACCCACCAGAGACTAGGGCACTAACATTTACTGAAGAGTGTAAGGAGCCTCGGGAAGTACCCTTCGCACCACAACATGAACTGCTGGTGTGGATGGGTCAGGGCAGGTTACAGCCTTTATACTCATAAATAGCTCACTGGATGAAGATGCTAGAAAATCCTCAGGTAACTCTGGGGAGGAAAGCCTATTCTGTCTTAATGCTCCCACATAGCACATCTCTCTGCCCACGGTGTAAGACTCGGGCTCTTAACATTTCCTCTTCCAGGTTCTTTCTGCCCAGAGGGCAAACCAATCTATGTGCCATGAATTAGATCGACCACTCCAAATCCTTCCTCCCCTGAGCTGGAACAGGTGGCCAGGTCCTATTCTCTGCCCAGACCTTTGGCACTGTGCTGTGCAGGTCCACCCTCACTCACCTGCATTTGTGGCAGCAACGCACCAGGTCATCCTGCTGCACTCGGTCTGACAGGAACTGGGGCCGGCAAAGGGGCAGGCGGATATTGGACAGCAGCTCAGGCAGGCAGGGTCCCCTCTGCTCCCGGTCATATCTGACCCAGGCCAGTGCAGCTTCAAAGACCTGCCATGACAGAGTGCAAGCTCTGGCAGCAACTCCTCCCACCCAGAAGCCACACCCCTGTACCCTCAATCCCTCTATTTACTGTACTGAAGCTATCCCTTGGGTCCATCAATCTTTCCCCCTATTTGTTATCCTGAATCCCTGATTTCTCTCTACTTCCTAGGTTACTGTAACAGCTTCCTGGCTTTCCTTACGATTATGACTTCCTAATGAAAAACCATCAATGGCACCTTATTCCTTTCTGCATCACAACAAAATACACTTCTCTTCCTGCTGCTCCTGTACCTTAACCGCTCCAAACTTCCTCCACCACCCTCTATTCTAGCCAGCCTGGGCTGGTTCCCCTGTTCACACTGTCCCTCTCACCTAAAGTGCCCTCTCATCTCTTTCTCTTCATCTAAACCCACTCTCCTATCTTTAAGGCCTGGCTCAAGATCCATATTCTCCAAGGAGCCTTTCCTAAAGAGCCTTTCAGCCACAAGGATGTCTCCCTCTAAAACCATACAGCCCTTACAAAATATATCACTCAAATAAATGTGAGCTGCCTCAGTTCATATTAATTATTGGAAGAGCTAGGGACAGGACATCTTGTTTTTGGGATGAGGCTCTTTCCTCTAAATCACAGTGCCTATACTGCCGAGCTCAGGGTCTACTTTTCTATTGGTCACTAATATTTAGGGGTGGGGGCTCTTCAGACATTCAGAAAATTAACTGAATTGGGACTAACGTCCCAATGCTCACCTCTTAGAGCCTAGGGCTCCTCATGGTAGGCCACGACTCTTGATTTCAAACATCCCAAGCTGCTCTGCCTTTGGTTAGACTTCACAACCAATCAGCTTTGCAGCAGTGATGCTCCCAGTGCCTGCAGGGCCAGGTCCAAACTTCTGGACCCCAGCATTCGACGCCCTTCACTGCCAGCCCTAGACACCCTCAGCCCAAAATAACATTTATTCACTATCCTCTGAAGACAACTTGCACCACACTTTTGTTGAACAGAAAGGCTTGTCCTTCGCTCCTTTCTGGCTACTAACACCCTACACTCTCATTTATGCTTTCTCGCTCTGTCTTCTTTGTTCTTAGAGGACCCTATGATTGCCCAAACCTTGCTTTGCCGATCGCTTCACCCTCCATGACAACTATCCCCTGGCATCATCAATAGCTTCACCTCTTTCATAATTTTAAATATGCTTACCTGACCACCACTTCGAAGCCTTCCAGCTCAGTAACTGACTCCAATTAGCTTTTGACACCACCCCCCATTCTCAGCTCCCTACATACCTGTCAAATCCAGTATGGGCTCCATGGGCTATTATGCAGGTGCCCTCAATTCCCATGCCATGCTCCTATCTCCTTTAATCACATTCACTTGGAAAGCAGAATCTCTAACCTGGTGAAGTCCAGCTTTTCAAACTGAACTTATCCCCTGTTCTGCACCTGTACCAGTATATATGGCTGACAGAAAACACACAACAGCACTAATCAGTTTATTAAAAATTTGTAACTGCTAATATCATCAGGTCCTGCCTCCTTTCAAGCCCTCTCCATTTCCCCAGCACTGTCCATTTACTCTCCCCCTTTCCTAGAGAACTATTTCATACCTTTTTATCTCTTCTCAATTTCTAACACTCCTCCCTCATTCTCACTCTCAGCTGAGAAAACAGAAACAAATCAGAAGAGAATGTCAATTAGAACCTACCAGCATCTCCCTTCCTCCCTCCCCCTCTCCCTGTATCTGGGTGTGTGCATGCTGCTCTCCCTCCTGCTACTGTGGATGTGGACAGCTTGTGCTCCTATCAGATACATGCACACCCCTGTGTCCTGGACTCCGTTTTCTCTCACTCCAGAACATCATTCCAACAACTATTCTCCCCTTTCTCCTACATTACCAATTCTTCCCTCTTTTCTGGAAAATTCCCATCAGCAGTCATATATGCCATAATTCTTTCACCTTAAAAAAGCAAATGCCTCTTGACTTCACATTCCCCTCTGTGACTGCCCCAATGTTCTGCTTGTCTTTAGAAAAAGACTCTGTTTTTGGAGGGGGCAGGAACAGTCTCACTCTGTTGCCCAGGCTGGAGTGCAGTGGTGTGATCATAGCTCACTGCAGCCTCGAACTCCAGAACTCAAAGCAATCCTCCCACCTCAGGCTCCTGAGTAGCTGGGACTAATTATTTTTTTTATCCCCCATAGGGACAGGGTCTCACTACATTGCCTGGGCGGGTCTTGAATTCCTAGGCTCAAGCAATCCTCCTGCCTTGGCCTCCCAAAGTGCTGGGATTATAGGTGTGAACCACCACACCTAGCCAAGACTCTTTCAAAAAGTTACCTATACTTGCTATTTCCAGTTCACAGCAGCATCCTTTCTAATAGTAAATACTGGAAATAACCCAAATGTCCAAGAATAAGGGAAGTAGGATTTGATAAAAATCAATAGAATACCATTTAGACACTAAAATGCATAAACATTTTTCATGAAAAATACATATGATAAAATAAAACCCCATAATATACAACAGCTGCATACATGTCATGAACTTTGTTAAAAAATTAATAGAAAACAATAATTAAAAAGATCAGCATCTCATGCAACCTGCACAGACTGCCAGTATGCTCACATACCTGTTCCTCTGATTTTACATTCAGCTCATCCCGAGACACTAGCTCAAGTACATCTTCCAAGGGCAGGGCCAGGAACTCTTCCGACATGGACACCTCCACAAAGTGCTGGTGGATGAAGCTGTTGGCTGCATCATACAGCACAGCACACATCATTGTCTCAGCAAACTGGCGCACACCCAGGCAATTTTTTGGATGAAGCCTTTTTGCACAAGAAAAGATGAAAAGAAAAAAATTAGAGGAAGAAAGAATGTTATCTTTGATCATTCTCAGGTTGGTTCTGTGTAGAGCCACAGAAGGAACACAAACAAATTTTGTCCTCAGCTTTGATGGAAACTCCCTGTGTGACCAACCACACCTCTGTAGGACTCAGCTTCTAAAGGTAAGATTAAGAAAGATTATCCTCAAAGGTCCCTGCCTCTTGGGCCTGGTGTTCTATGTGTTGAGGTGGAATAAACTCTTTGGGAAGTCCTGTGAAGTAGCTGTCAGGAAAGAAGAACAGGAGAGCATGTACTGGAAAACTTGTTTGCTACATTCCACTACTGATGTTCCTGGTTGCGTGTCCAGGCACTATTCTACCTCTGGTCACCAGGAAGACACTGAAATTGTAGAATAAGAGTTTAAAACATGTGGAGAGATGGCTTCTCTAACACTGGGACCCTTATACTTTTTGAGACAGAAAGAGGCTCCATGGGCCTAACTGTTCAGACATCCAGAAAGACCAGTAGCTATCATTTTTTTTTAGCACCATCGATGAGTCAAATACTTTGCTAGGCCTTTTATACACATTTTCCAGAATCTTTATAACAACCCTGCAAAGTAATAATTGCTCTTATTTTATAGATGGAAAACTGAGGCTCAGAGAAACCAACAAATGTGGCCATAGTCCCTCAACAAGCAAGTGGTGGTGCTGAGGTTGAACCCAGGCCTCTTGTACATGTTCCCACAAGCACCAAAGCAGACCTGCACTAATAATGACCAGGGAAACCAGAGGTAAATCCTGGCCCTGATGCTAACTGGGCAACCTGGTTGGGTTTCTTAAGTTCTCACAATGGCCAGTAATTTCCTCACCTAAAAAAAAGATGATGACAACAGCTACCCACCTTTAAGGGCAGTGGCCATGATTATGTAAGAATGTAGGCAAAAGCACTCGGCATGGTGCTTGATACGAAGTTAGCTGCTGTTTTAATTTTTATTATGGTTGTCTTCTTACTACTGTTTCATCTGAGAAAATTCCAATGAACCCAGTGTGGTTCTGAAATCTTGGTGACAGCAGCAGCCCCTAGGGAATGGATCTTTTCTTATTTTAATTTTGTAACTAATAACTAGAGGAGGGAGATGGTATTTAACAGATTAAAAATTTCCCAGGCTTACTTTCCTTCATTAGAATGTTTTTTGCTTTTTCCCCCATATTGATTTCAGGTTATAGGCACAGAGTTATGTATACTTAGCAATAGTCACCACTTTCCCCAGCAGCAGACCTACCAAGGACTGAAAGAGCAGAGTATCTCATGAGCCTGGCTTTATGATTAGTCAAAATTCTATACAGTTGTTTCGTTCCAGCCTGAACTTGCTCTGTCCATTACTTTGGAAACCTATGTGAATTTCCAAATGCCAAGGAAATGTGAGCAGGGAGCAACACATAGGCAAGGCAGTATGGCCAGTGAGAAACACAGGGCTCAGGATCAGAATGCCAGCTCAGTCATCTGTCAAATAATACCTTTCTCCTAAAGCATTTATGGTGATTGAATAACACTTGTTAAAACACTTTACAAATATAAGGCAGAAATGAGGATAAGCCTTCCGTGGGCCTCTACTGCATTGTGTCACTCTTCCCTATCCCTTTGACATCAACCCAAGAGAAGGATTCAAAATGCCACAGACTGGGAGCTGGATAGAGTCCAAAGACATGGGGAAGTATATCGACGTAGGTATTGGCATTCATTTCCATCCTCTCCTCAGGTTAGGATTCCTGCATCTTATTAATATCTCTGGCTGTCTTTGATTGGCTTGGCATAATATTGAGCACAAAACACATCTCAACTGAACTGGGCTTTCACATCCAAGAGGATGGGATATGAGAAGTCTGTTTGTGAGGTAATTGGTGGGGAAAGAGGAGGGAGAGCTGCCACATAGGAAAGGGGCCCATTTAGGAGTAGAAGGGAGAGTGGAGGGAAAATAAACCTAAAGGGTAGATAGAGACCCACATCTCTCATCAGCTACTTCACAACCTTTTTCCTTGCTGACATAGCTCGACTTTGTAAGCAAGGAGGCTGCATAAGATGTAATGCTTTTATCAGAGGCAGGAAGCGGTGACTTGATAAACATGTTATTGACTTGATTCACTGACATATTTGATGTTCCGATCTAGCTCTGAGAGAAGAGTTTTAGAAAATATACAGCTGTAGCGCTCACTTAAAAGCAAGGAAATCCATACATCTGAAGGCTGGGGAAAGGGCCATAAAAAAAATTCAACCCTAGCCTCAGGGGGTAAAAAAGCAGCAGACTGAAGAGCTAATAGGCTGAGTAGCCTCAGGAACTGTTGTTCTACGAACTTTGATGTCATCACAGCTTATCTGTGCTGTCATGTCCTGTCTTTTCCACTACTGCTCAGAATGGTTTTCCTCAAGTCACTGGCAATCAAACCTTGAAAATGAAGCGCCCACATGCTTGTCCTTAAGGGCACATAGTAAGTGGGGAGCTGGGAGACCCACCACATTCTGCAGCCAGGCTCAGGGAGAACGACTCCAAGGAACAGTGGTAGTAATGGTAACTACTGGAAAGAAAACAGAAAGCAAGCCAAGCCTCTGGGGCCTGTGGCAGGAAATAAAGACAGGAATGAGGTGAGGATTTAGATCTCAAAAGGGGTCCTGCAGGGCTGAATGAAAAAAATGTCAAGGATAGACTCAAAACATCAGGCTTTATGTTTAAGTACGTGTTTCTAAAATGTTATTGGTGTATGTAAAAATTGCACTGGTCTAAAAGTCACTTTTCTAAGCATCTTTTAGATGTAACAGAGTCTGGATCCAGTGTTGACAGAGATAACCTCAAAAGCCCCTAGGTGGAGCTGTTGTCCCTTGGTGAAGATGTAAGGATAGCCAACTGAATCCTTCCAAAGTGCCTACTTAGTCAGAAAGCCATGCTGCAAGTTCTGTGGAAACCAAGAAATGAACTAAGTCCAGTCTGTGTCTTAGAAGCTCACAAATGAGTAGGAAAGACTGTGTGTTCCACACATTCCCATATGCACCCCTCCAGCCTGCCCCAGAAGGCATCCCAGGGCAGGGACGAGCCTGGCTTTAGGGCTGCACTCTCACTACAAGGTCTCCATCTGCATAACTGGGAATAGTACCACTTATCTCAAAATGAAAGCATTCACCTGGTACCCAGCAGAGGAGCGGCTCCTGCATTTAAGGCATCATTACTATGGTTATTATGACTAGTGGCACACACAGCATTGCTCTCTGATTACCATGAGCACCAAGTGGGCAGGATGTGGGCAACAGACGGGGTCCACAGAGCTGCTGAGTGAATTGGATTGGTGGGCGGGAATGGGGAAGAGGGAGGTCATCTCTAAGAGGCAATGGGGTTCAGGAGGGCAGATCTGATTCAGGAGGAATGCTGGTCTTCAGACCAGAAACCTGGTGATCAGAGTAGGCTCAGGTGGAGGTTGGGTGTGGGAGAGCATCACAGACATAGGGGTGCTTTTTCAGTTGCTCCCTGCCTGTGTGTGGCCAGCACTAACACTTACCCACAAACCTCTGGTGGTTAAAGGCCTTTACCTTATGACTAAGAGCTCTGTCTCTTGACAGGGGAGGAAAAGCCTTCTTATCTGCTCGGTTAAAAGGTCACAGGAGACCCATGAGGCCCACTGCCAAGCACTGAAAATAGGTGAGGATATAGTCCATGGTCCTTACCCTAAAGAGCAGACAATGATTGCTACCAGGGGATTAGATAGAGGGAGGGATAGGGGAGAGATAGAGAATTCTAGGAGGTGAAATTTGGGTGGGTTCTTAAAGAGCTGAAGGATAAAAAGGAAGGTCAAGAAATTCGAGGAGGGAGAGTATTTAAGCAATGATGGAGATGGCTATGGAACAGTGAGTAAACACTGAATAAATCAGCCTGGTAAGAAATCAGCTTAATTAGTGGCTGGTCAGACTGGAGAGAGAGGATCAGAAGAGGTACATGTCAAGCCAAGAGAGAAAGCAGGCAGGACTATGTAAACCATGCTCCAAAAGGGTTCATCCCAAAGAAATGGTCACTGCTTGATGCTGATTTTAAGAAATGTCATTTCTGGCCGGGCGCGGTGGCTCACGCCTGTAATCCTAGCACTCTGAGAGGCTGAGGCGGGTGGATTGTTTGAGCTCTGGAGTTCGAAAACAGCCTGAGCAAGAGTGAGACCCCGTCTCTACTAAAAATACAAAGAAATTAATTGGACAACTAAAAAAATATATAGAAAAAATTAGCCGGGCATGGTGGCGCATGCCTGTAGTCCCAGCTACTCGGGAGGCTGAGGCAGAAGGATCGCTTGAGCCAGGAGTTTGAGGTTGCTGTGAGCTAGGCTGACGCCTAGCTCTCTAGCCCAGGCAACAGAGTGAGACTCTGTCTCAAAAAAAAAAAAAGAAATGTCATTTCTGCACAGTAATCTCCAGCTTACTCCCTTCATAAAACTCCATATGCCCCAAGGAGTCAGCAAACTGGCAAGCGATTCCAAAAATGAAATAGTCATGCTCCCCTCCATGGGCCAGGCCTACCATATCACCTCACCGTTCTCGGAGGAATGTGCAGCAGGCGTCTTTGATGCTCTGCAGCTGCAGGAAGCTCGCCCCCATCAGCAATGACTGCACATTTTGCTGGTCAATGGCAAGGTTGCCATTGTAGGCAAAGTTGATCAGAGCCTCCAGGGCACTAGAGAAAAGAGGGAAAGCCATGAGATACTCTTAAGAGATCAGGCCCCAACTGAACTGACGTTACTACCTGAACATATGAGCCCCAGCCCTAAAATCCATTTAGCCTATGCCCTTGAGAATCTATCTAAATTGAATAACTACTTCACCACAGCCCAAAATTCATTCTACTAAGTTGTCTTCATTGTCCAAATCAACCATGGTCATTTTTGCAGTGATAGAGAAATTCTTTCTATTTGTACTGTCCAAAATGTACTGTCCAAAGTTCATTTTCAGTCCCTATTTACCTGCATGCATGAATTATATGGATATAATCATAAAATACTTACCAAGCTCTTCTCCATGTTGCTACAATGTCATGTTTATTGTTTTTAGTGGCTGCTATATAATATTTCAACATGTAAATATGCTATAATCTTTTTCCTTTATTGGTAGGCATAATAGCTATTACCATCTTATTACCATTACGATGTTTTTGAATTACTATTTCTTTGGGGTAAATTTCTAGAACGAGATGTCCAACAGTTCTTCTGGCTTCCAATTCACACTGAGAATGAAATCCAAATTCCATCTATATGGCTGTGCGTGCTCTGGCCCTTCTCCATCCGTCTGACCTCATCGCCTTCCACTCTTTCCCTTCCTCATTCTGTTCCAACATCCTGAATACATTCTCACCTCAGGGCCTTTACACTGGCTGCTTCCTCTGCTTGGAGGACTCTTCCCCCGGATGGCTCACTCCCTCACTTCAATTAAGGTCTTGGCTCAAATGCCACTCCACCACAGACGCCTTCCCTGTTCACCCTGAAATAGCACAAGCCCCACCATCATTGTCTAGCCTTTACTGTGATTTACCTTCTCACATCGCTTTCACTCCCAGCCATTCCATGCATGTATTTGGTTATTGCCAGATCCCCATTACTAGAAACTTGGCACAATGAGAAGGGGTGTTGTTTTCTTACTGCCATACCTCAGTGCCCAGAGCTGTGTGCATCACAGATGTTCAGTCAATTTTTGTCAAGTGAAGCACCAGGACTATACATGGGATTAGCATGGCTCTTTCAGACACATATCTCAGAGAGGAGGAGTACACAACTGCCCTTGGAGACCCACTTCCGTGTCTTTCCTTACAAGTAGCTGATCTCAGAGATTTCTACCTTGCATTTGGTATATAAACCCTCTCCATGTACTGGAGCAGATCACCTTCAATCATCCAGAGGGTGCCATACAGTTTCCTAGCTCCTTTTCTCCTAGTTTTTACCACTATGAGGTTAAGAGGTTAGGCAACACTGACTACTAGCTTGGGCTTGGTCTCCTTGGGCTTCGATTTTCTGATCCATTGAATAACCATAATATCTGGCACATTCTAAACCTGTGTTGTCTAATACTGTAGCCATTAGCCACACATGGCTATTTAAAATTAAATATAAATTGATTGAAATTAAATAAAATTTAAAATCCAGTTCTTCAGTCCTACTAGTCACATTTCAAGTGTTCAATAGCCATCTGTGACTAGTGGCTACATTTTGGACAGTACAAATAGAAAGAATTTCTCTATCACTACAAAAAGTTCCAATGGACAACACTGTTCTAGACTGAGGAAAAGGGAAGTAAATGAAGGCACTTACTCGAACAACTATTTTGCCAGCTAAAATGACTAGACCAGAAAAGTGCAGAGAGTAGCATACCACCACCCTTGTATCCAGCCCCAGTTTAAAAAAATATCTTGACATCTAGGTCCTACTAAATGTGTTACTCTAATAGTGATTAAAATAGCATCAAAACTCCCTTCATTTTAACCCTATTTCAGGCCACTGGCTGAGGTTCTAATCTGTTTACTAATCACCTCCTATGTGTGGGGAGGGGCTGTGCTATTAGATATCGGGTTCTGCTGTAGGCCCTCGAATGGTACCAATCACAGGCTAAAACTGCACCTGGAAAACAGCTTGTGAAACCTAATGGTGGGATGTAGTACCTTGGGTCCATTCCTTGCATTACAATCTCATCCTGCTTGCACTCCATCATGTCATTTGTAAACATAGCATGGAAGTACGGGATCGAGGCTGCTAAGACGATCCGGTGAGCACTGAATTTGTGGTCCCCAATCTGTAGGCAAAGTAAAATACAAAGACAGATACTGAGGAACACAAATAGAAAAACCCAACCTGTCCCTTCCACAGCTTACCTCACTGCCCACTGCAATGGCAATGAAGGCATCCCAGGGCAGGGCAGACCCTCAAGTATTTTTTAAATTCAATATACTCAGTTATAGTAGAAGAATGTAAACAATACATTTTAATGAGGTGTTAAAATGGTTAAAAAATGTAAGTCTGAATGCTTCAAGTAGTTTTTACTTATATGGCAGTCCCCAATGCACCCCTTCTCAACTCCTCGAATATCTGATTCCTTTAACACTTCATCCCAACCCCAGTTTTATTAGAAAGCAGATGGACTAGACAAAACAAACTGCCCAAAAAGAGTAAATATGTAGTGACAGGAAGACTTGAAGAGAAATGAGATCACACTTGAATAGGGGGTGTGTGTGGGGACCGAGGACAGAGTAGGCATCATGAGCTCAAATGTTGGGGTGGAGGGATGTCCTTGGGCACCAAGCAGGCTGTGGTAGACGGCAAGGAGCCCAGAGCTCATCTGGGAAAAATAACCCTGGCAGCAGCCAGTAGGAAGGACTGGTGCTGAGGACTGGCCAGTGCTCTGTGTGGCCTGCAGAGACAGAAGCCAACTCTTTCTCTAATCTGTATCAAACCATCACTGACACACCCTTAAGCCTGAGGAATTCTATAAAGTGTTTTCCAATTATCCGCCAAAAGTTATTTCCTTCAATAAGCCTTGTCATTTACAGTTCCAAGCTATACAAACATTTCCACTTAAGAAATTTCCAGGCCAGGCCCGGTAATCCTAGCACTCTGGGAGGCTGAGGTGGGCGGATCGTTTGAGCTCAGGGGTTCGAGACCAGCCTGAGCAAGAGCGAGACCCTGTCTCTACTAAAAAAATAGAAAGAAATTAGCTGGACAACTAAAAAAATATATATATAAAAAAAAATTAGCCGGGCATGGTGGCACATGCCTGTAGTCCTAGCTACTCGGGAGGCTGAGGCAGAAGGATTTCTTGAGCCCAGGAATTTGAGGTTGCTGTGAGCTAGGCTGACGCCACGGCACTCACTCTAGCCCAGGCAACAAAGCGAGACTCTGTCTCAAAAAAAAAAAAAAAAAAAAAAAAGAAAGAAATTTCCACACTCCAGGAAGAATAAAGCTGTCCTTTTTTTCTTTTTTCCTTTCCTCAGGTTCCATATTAGTGAAATGCCAGAGCATCTCACTACCTAATGTTCATCTCTTTGTGTCAGGCTTATACAAGGATTCTAGCTCAGGCTCGGTCACTATGTCTGTCCTCTTTCACTAAACTTCGGGTTTATTGTCTGGAAACAGTCCAGATATTAAACAATCCAGATATTAACAGTCCAGATATTAAACAGTCAAGATATTAGTATCTTGAAAGATCACACATACAATCTTTCAAATGCCAAAAGATCCTCATCAGATTCAAATTCTATTTGTTCCTCATAAAATCCAGGTGTTTCTCTATCTACTACCAATGTTGGGGACATTAAACAGATACTTGCTTTGGGGGTTTTTCATAAATTTTTTTTTTTTATTTCAGGGTATTATGAGGGTACAAACATTATGGTTACACTTTATGTCCAAGTGCGGGTTAAAGGCATGCCCTTCCCCCCTACAGTGCTTCCGTGTCCTTTAAAAAAATCACAGCAATATATGTACATCTTTCTTAAAGTTGTCCCTACAAGGTTTATAATGAAAACCAGCAGTCTCTGCTTTCCTGATTCCACTCTGATTACTGCTCCCAAAGGCAACCTCTTTCTTCTGGGACTTGTCTTCACCTTTTAAAATAATATTCCTATATATTACTTCTTGATTTTTCACTTTTAGTTATTACATGTGCAGCTAGCCTCTAAACAGGCCCCAAAGACCCTTGCCTCCTGGTATTCACACTCTTGTGCTGTCCACTTCCACAGTGTATCAGGGCTGGTCTACATGACCAACAGAACATAGCAGAAGTGATGATGGTATGTCACCTTCAAGGCTGGGTCACAAAAGGCATTGAAATTCCTCTTATTCTCTCTACTGGCTCACTTATTCTAGGGGAAATGAAATAACATATCATGAGGATAGGATCATATAAAAAAGAACTGAAGCCTCCTTCTACAGCTACCTGAGTGAGCTTGGAAGAGGATCTCCCAGCCTCAGTTGAGCCTTCAGATGACTGCAACCTCATGAGAAACCTCTAAGCTTCTTCTGAACACCTGACCCATAGAAACTGTGAGATAAAAAATACTTGTTGGTTTAAGACACTAAATTGTGGGGTAATTTATTATGTGTAAAACATAATTATTATATCACTAATTTAATTCCTATTATGAAAGATTAGGAATTTGTCCTGATATCTTCTTCATATATTAATAGCACCCCACATATGCTCCCCAGCCTTCCAATATAATTAAGTCAAATTTTGGTTAAATTGATAGTAAGCATTGCATTATTAGGTCTAGGTAAATGTATTATTTGTAGCCAAGCTATGCTGAATACTATGATTATATTTCCTTTTTTGTATAATTGTTATTCTCCTTGGAGTGTAAAATTCCTTTTTAAAGTTGAAATCACGTTCTCTATCAGTTGTCTGTTCCTTTTTTTTTTTTTTTTTTTTTAAGTTGTCTGTTTCTTGAGACAGCCTTACTGGCTACTGGAACTAACTCTATCCTTCTGGGAATTTTTTACCTCACCTACATTGGAACCCTGTTTCCTGGATCCCATTTAGTCCTCTTCATTATTCACTTGTTCTGGTGGAAAGTATCTTCTAGGAAAGTTTCCTAAGAAAGGACGTATGCACAATATGTCTGAAAAATGCTTTTACTACTCTCAAACTTGGGTGATAATTTAGCTGGTTAAAAATTTCTAAGTTGTGAATATTTTTTTCTGCCAGAATTTTGAAAATATTGCTTCATTGTCTTCTAGTTTGTTGCTTTTGAGAAATCTAATGCCATTTTAAATACTGACCATAAATATGTGACTGTTTTCTCTAGAAGCTTTTAGGACTTTCTCTTTATTCTTATAGTTCTGAAATTTCACAGTGCTGTACCTTGGTGTTGGTTTTCTTTCACTCATTGTGCTGTATCAATCTATAGACCATTGGCTGGGCCTGGTGGCTCACGCCTGTAATCCTAGCACTTTGGGAGGCTAAGATGGGAGGACTGCTTGAGGCCAGGAGTTCAAAACCAGCCTAAGCACAAGCGAGACCCCATTTCTACAAAAAAACAGAAAAATTAGCCAGGTGTGGTGGCGCACGCCTGTAGCCCAGGCTGCTTGGGAGGCTGAGGCAGGAGGATCACTTGAGCCCAGGAGTTTGAGGTTGTAGTGAGCTTTGATAACACCATTACTCTTTAGCCCGGGTGACAGAGTGAGACTGTTTCAAAAGCAAACAAACAAACAAAACCAACAACAAAAATAGCAACAATCTACAGACTTTATTTCAATTCTGGAAAAATCTTTTCATACCTTTTTTTGATAACTTCCTCTCCTCTATTGTCTCTTTTTTTCCCTTCCTAAATTTCTATTAGCTAGTCAAAGGACTTGAGATAATCCTCTAATTTTCTTATTGGTATCCTCAATTTTCCATCTCTTTCATTTGGTCTATCATCTAGGAAACTTCAGCTTTATCTTTCAATCTTTCTGTGTTGTAGTTTTTTATGTTGGCTATCATATTTTTAATTTCCAAGAGGTCTTTCTTATTTTCTGAAGGTTCTTCTAAAAAAAAAAAAATCTTGTTTATGTTTCATGAACGCAATATTTTCTATAATCTCTTGAGATGTTATATAGTCAAATTTTTTCTTCTTTTCTTCCTTGCTTTTACTTTTTTCTCAGAGTTATTTTCTCTTTCATATGTTTTTATCTATGTCTTTTATGTCAGAAGTTTTCTTTAAATATCTGGTGACACTGGCTATCTGTTCATATTTTTAAAGCTGTTTGAAAGCTCTGTATATGTGAGTCCTTGCCAATTTGTGGACTTCACATTAGGGTGCTCAGGCAAGAATCTGCCATTTTATTGAAGATCTCTAGAAGTAATGAGTTTCTTTAGGACTTTTTCTCTAGGGCTAATTTTATCAGAGCAGGATCTTCTAATCTTTTGCACGGAAGCATCTGCCTGCAGATATTCTGGAAACTGGGTGAGAGAGGGGGATGGTTCTACCATTACTGCTTAGAACTTTAACTTAAAGCCCTCATTTGCCGTGTTGCTCCATATCCCACCCCTTCTTCTATGCTTGGTGTGCCTGAATTCAAAGTCTCTGGTTCAATTCCTAAGACTAAACTTCCTCTCTTCTGAGAGAGTTGGGGAGGCAGTATAGGCATCTAATTGCTTTTCACATAGACCTTCAACTAATCTTCCTGTTTTTAGTAGTTGGTGTCTCTAATTCTGGAGCTATTCCAGGGTTCTGCAATACAAAGCCTCTTCCTTCTTAGTTTCTCCCCCTGGGAGGCACTTTCAGTTCCTTTGGCCCACTAAGCCTGTCACGCATGCTCTCTGGCTTTAATATTCTATTGATTTCTCATTTGCTGATATCTTTTCCCCCTCTTACTATCATTTTTATGGGTTACAGGAGGGAATGAAAGTTAAATGTATATTCAATTTGCTGTGTTTAACTGCTGTGCATTTATTTTTCATAAACAGAGGATAAAAGAACAAGCTGTATGTACATCAAGAGAGTGAACTGGTTTCTAAAAAAAAACTCAGCTAAAGAGAAGATGGACCAGAAAAGACCTCGTATAGCCAAAGCAATCCTAAGTAAAAAGAACAAACTGGGAGGTATCAGTTTACCTGACTTTAAGCTGTACTACCAGGCTGTAGTGATTAAAACAGCTTGGTACTGGCACAAAAATAG